TTCCGATATTGCTGACATTACTGGTCATAGTAAGCAATTTAGGAACACTAAACAGTAGCAGAAGCTTTAAATTTTCATTTCATTTCTGAACGAAATTTGGCAGTACTTGGTACATTGGCAGCAACATAACCATAACCTATGATCTTTCGATTTTCGATGTTTTGTTTTGTTGGTTTTTATTTCCACCATCCTTATCATTATCTTCTTTACTCACGTTGAAATTATGGATGGATTAATTCATCATCTTATCTTAAAAGACATATTATCCGATAGTGATTCTGATTCATCATAAACACCAAGCTCAAGTACCTCTAGTTCCAGTGATATATAATTTTCATAGACTCATTCCTGACCATTCAAACGCTTAACCTAACATTCCATTTCTGCATTAACCTAACATTCCATGAATACTGACACTTTACATCTGCACCAGTGGCCAACAGTAAACTTTCAGCCTCTAACAGGGTTCCTTGCAATGACTAGCGAAAACGTTGCCAGTAATATCAGAACATGCTGATATTCTGCAACTTTCCTAGAAAAAAGATCCGTTTCATAAAGGAACGAATTCATTTGAGAAATAATGGCTGACAAGTTATGATTATTATTTTGTAACGAAAGTGGCAATTTATAGATACTATTGCAAAATATCACAATGAATCTTTATTAGTAATCAACTTCAGCCAGAGAATAAGATATTTATGAAAATCAGGCCTATTACTCGACGGAGTAGAATTAAGAAAACCTATTATATCTCATTGCTGTTATGATATCGTTATTAGTTATTTATGCAACAAGTGCAAAAAGTGTCCGACTCGGCCTAACGGCCTCGTCGGACAATTTCACGTCGAATGCAATAAACAATTTTTGCACGAGTTGCATACAACATTTTTTCTACGTTCATGCAAAAAGCAAAAAATGATTTATTGAGGTGCGGCACTAGGTACAATTCTGTTAATTGTCAGAATTAATTTTTGACTGACGTTTCTATAACCACAGTTGCATTATAGAAAATGTTTGTCATGATGACAGCACGTTGAAGTAGAATGACAGATGAGTGCAATAAAAACTTTATTGCACTAAGTGCAATAAAGAACTTCTTTTTCCACTAAATATAGTTCAATAAAGTTCTGTTTTTTGCATGAATGTAGAAAAAATTTATTTAATGAACGATTTCCGGAATTCTAGACATATTGTTGATGCTGGCAACGTCGTACTGACACAGGGAATCGTATTTTAACTCTTTGTGAACGTGGCTTTTCTAGGAAGGCACCAAGTTCATTTTCATAAATTTTTTTCTCAAGTTAAAGATTTTACCAAGAAAAAGGAAAAATACGTATATATTATGAACAAGCAGACATTCTGGCACGATAAGGGGCCTCAACGCCACTGATCGGACCAGTCATTTTGCGGCCTTGGAAATTTCTATTTCCAAGGAGAACCTCCTGCACAATTACAAATCGTGTCACTTTAACAGAATATTCCTAATAACATGAGTTATCGATGTATAACCCGAATATTTTGAAGTAATTATAGTATTATCACTGATTATAGCTGACCAAGCAAACGTTGTTTTGCTATGTACATCATATTTTTAGAAAATAATTTTTTAGTTGAATATTTAACAGCACACTTTTATTAATTTGTTTTTCTACTTCTGTTTAGTTTGACTAACCATAAAAGCCTGATTTCTTAGTTTCTCAAACTACTACTCATTTTCTACTTCTTTTCAGCTCGGTGATACAAGGTGAATCTGAAAGTGATGCCTTTTAACAGGATATATCTCACCAAAATAAGTTGTTTGGCAAAAAATTGCTCACATGAAATATTCAAGATAACGGAGGCACAGGTATTTAATGGTTTGAAGAAAACTCCAACTATGAAACATTTTGTTTAAATTTTCTCAAAAAAAAACGCAAAAAAGCCGTTATTAGTCCAGATTAGATGAAGTTGCATAATTTCATCAGAAACATTAATCAAAAACCTCTTTTTACATTTTCAACCGATTAATTATCGTATAGTAAAGTGAAGCAGAAACTTTAGGAGGAAAATGAAGCATTAGGCCAAACAACTTATTTTGGCGAGATATAATTGCAGATTCACCCTGTATATCTCATTATTTTACTAAACTACTATTTATTTTATTCTTTTTTTCAGTTTGGCGATTTGTGAAAGCGTGTTTTATTAGTTTTTCGAAACACTATTTATCACAAAGGTCGTTGGACATCTTGAATTTTCTAATTATGATGGAGGAATCATAAATCTCCGAACCCGAAAACCCACAGATACTAATTTTGAACAGAATAGCATCATAATTATAAAAAATCGTCCGCGATATTGGATCCGTCATTTTCAAATTTTGAGGAAAGAATCTTAATCTTCAACCCCAAAATCCCCCAGATACCAATTTTCAATAGAATCGGGTCATAATTACAAAACTCGCTCGCCATATTGGACCCGCCATCTTGAATATTCAAATTTTGAGGAAATAATCATAATCTCCGATCTCAAAAACCCCCAGATACCAATTTTAAATAGAATCGGAACATGATTACATAACTCGTCCTCCATATTGGATTCGCCATCTTGTTTTTTCCGACTCCAAAAACCCCTAGATACCAATTTTGAATAGAATCGGATTATAATTACGAAACTCGTCCGTCATATTGGATCCGCCATCTTGAATATCCAATTTTTTTCTCTCATTAGTACCATCTCCTGGCAATAACAAATACAACAAAAAAAGGATTAGTGGAATCGGTCCAGCAGTTTACGATTCTATAAAGGACATACACAGCACAGACAAACATTCATTTATATACACAGGGTGGCATTGAAATAAGTGCAAATATCTTTAACACTGAGAAAGCTCGACGTGCACTATTGAATGGCACTAATAAAGAAAAATTAGGAATCAAAATAAAATTTGAGGTTAGACCCTTTTTTCCACCCAAAGTTTTTCACTCTAGGAAATCTGACGTCACCTCTGTTCAATCATTCAAATTGATTTTGTTCAATTTTTGGGGTGAAATCGTTAATTAGAAGAATTAGAAAAAATCTGATATCATGGGAATATTCCTTAGACTGTATCATATCAATGTGCTGAATATGTGCATTTATTTCAAAAACACCTTGTATATAGATTTAAGCAAACTAGGAAAAGATTATTGGACATAGCCTTCAGGAAGAGTTGACCGCAGACATGTGTTTCGGGCTCTTGGCCCTCATCAGTACGGTGAAAGATGTGCAAAAGATATAGGCAACACTTGGTGGAAGACGAAACAACAAATCGACGTAGTCAACTAACAGAAGCCAGATTTTATGATTGCGATTCCATGAAATTCTTGTACCTAATTCAAAGAATTCTTAGAAAATATCAAATTTGAGTTGAAATATTCCCATTAGCAGCAATACTACAAATTTTGAGCAGTATTTCCAGTCCTAAATGATACAATCCATACGATATATCATAACGAAAACATCAAAGGTTCGAACAGAGAATTTTTGATAATAACTATGCCTAGAGGCTGACAATCTGGGTCGATTTATTAGCTTGGATGACAAGCAACTAACTACATAATCATAATCAGAGGTAGGTATATTTCATGTACAACTTATGAATATTAAATCATTTGGAAAGTATTTTATGAATACCTAATTTCCTCCAATTTGGACTATACAGGGTGAGTTCGGTTACTTTCATTGTTTTAATAAATAACCTTCACGTTTTATCAAATTTAATTTGTATAACTTATTCGAGAATTGTCAGATGCTGTTCGGAGTGCTCTGAAAATATTTATGATGAAAATTCATATTATTACATAATTTTACCTATTTGCAAATACCAAGTCAGGAAAAATCTTTGATACGATAAAATGAAACTGAAGAAAAAATTACCATGCATAATGGGTCTTTTGAAAACAATGAGAATCGATAGAACTCGTGTTGAAAATCTTTGCGTTTTATAAATATACCGGGTGACACAGGAGACATGTAGCAGCCTGTAGTTTTTTTATTTGAAGAGATAAAATTTTGAAATTCACAGGGGGTATATAATAAATGGTAGCGCACTTTACGAACTTAACGACAATTTTTTCAACCACTTGTTTGACCGGAAGTGACCCCAACTTGTTTTTATATGTCACCCTGTACATTTCTTCAGTCTATCTTATTCGCCTTGAAATTCTCTATCCAACCATGTATCACAAAGTGGCATTTATTTCTTGATTCGCTGTTGAATTGCTTTTTAATCAAAAAGAATAAGTTGGCTGTCACTTGAATTCGATGATATATCGACACTTGGTAGGCTTTGAAATTTAAAGATCATTAGTAAATCGATATTATTCAAAATGTTTCGATATTCTGACCAATGTCTGCAGGTTTTCAATAGCTTGTTTGAGTCGAGATGAAAACCTTCGAAAATAACTCATGATACTGAGGAATCTAAGATAGGAACATATTTTTTCGAATTCAGCTACTCGTACAGAAACTATCTGTCTTTTATTTTCGCCATGTACCTATCACATGATCTTCCCATTTGGAATGATAAAACTAAAATGGTTCCTTTTATACGATGATCCACAGGGCTATCAGTCTATTTTTTCATAATAATTATTTCACTTAGTAGGCGGTGTACCTACACAAAATGTTTTATGTGTTTGACAGTTAATCAATTGCATCGATAATTTTTTTTCTTCATTTGTGTGTTGATTAAAATTGCATATTAACAACATATCAACTTTTTCGTTTCTTGAATACATTTTCCGTCTCTATTCTACTTACTTTTTTCCAGTGGGAATAAAGTAATTTATGAAAAGTGACATTTTATAACCTATCAACAGAGATGAACTTTTCAAACTTTTTTCCCGTCACAGAAAAAAAGCAATTATTAAAAAGTGACATTTCATAACCTGTCAACAGAGATGAAATTTAAAAAAAATTTCCCGCCACAGAAAAAAACAATAAAAACGCTACAACTGTAACAGTCCCTTCCGGAAATTCACCTGTGATCTATTCGCCTCTTGAACCCCGCCACACTATTAGCCTGCATCCCGCTGATCACGAAATCCTCCGCATCCCCCTCGGACTTCTCCCTTTTGCGCCCCGCGAACGGATCCTCAGCGGTGAGGGTGTTCGCCCTAGCGCGCATAATCTCGGGGGTGAGAAGCGGCTCGAGGGGGTTCGATGTCTCGAAAACGTCCTGGGATACTTCCGGCATCTTTCAACACTGACCAATCACCTCTCACACTGACTTCAAACGCGGAAAACGATGTGATTCGTCCAATCTTGGCCCAATGCGAATGTCCAATCCCGTATCTATAATATCGGTCCAATCCTACGTTCAATCTATCCACTCTGAGGTCGTTTTTGGGAGAATGGTTAACCCTCGGAGAAAAACTCAGGACTGTGCCTTTTTCTCGATGGTCAACTTCGCCGGGGTCAATGATGATAAGATAGTGTGTTTGCTTTGTTACAGTTCTCTCGATAAGTTAGTTCGAACTGGAGACTTTTAATGATATCGATGGACCCTACTTGTGGCAATATTTATAATAAATTTATACAGTGTGGAATTGGAATAAATTCGTTAGCGGGAAGATGGGGTAAACCGCAGTCAGAATTGTGTACACCAAACTTCAATTTCACAAGGAATTCCAAGAAATTCCAAGGAATTCCAGGTCTTTGAACACCATAATTATACCGCACTTCACACAAGGAATTCTAAAAAACTCCAAGCAAATCCAAGGAATTCCAAGGATATCCAAGAAATTTCAAGGGAATCCGAGAAATTCCAAGGAAATCCAAGGAATTACAAGGAATTCCAAGGAATTTCAGTTATTTCTACACCAGAATTATACCGCACTACACTGAAAGAATTCCAAGGAAATCCAAAGAATTCGAAGGAAATCCAAGGAAATCCGAGGAATTCCAAGAAATTCAAAGGAAATCCAAGGAATTCCAGTTGATTGTAGACCAGGAATTTACAGCACTTTGCCCAAGATATTCCAGGGAATTCCAAGGAATTTCAAGGAATTCCAAGAAAATCCAAGGATCCAAGGAATGAGAAAGGCAAAAAGACCTTACCTAGCAACTACAGACCGATCGCACTGCTATCTATTATTTCAAAGATCATGGAGAAAGCTATCAACATCGAGCTTATGATATACCTGGAACACTCAGGTATTATCAACGATAGGCAATATGTCTTCAGTCATCAGAGATCAACTAGTGACCTGCTCGCTTACGTCTCACATAATATATGGCAGCAATCTATTGAAAAGGCATTCGATCGAGTCTGGCACCAATGACTCCTCGCCAAGCTTCCATCTTATGGCTTGCCTCCCCAGCTATGTTCTCTGCTAGCTAGTTATCTCTCAAACAGGTCTCTCTAAGTAGTGGTCGACGGAGTTTCATCTGACTCTATTATCATAAATGCTGGTATTCCGCAAGGATCAATTCTAGCACCAACAATATTTCTACTCCATATCAACGATTTGTTGGAAACAACTTCATGTCAAGTACACAGCTTCGCGAATGATAGTACCCTCCATTCCGCCTTCTCTTCCAGGGCTCCAATACCAGCCAGGCAAATCAGAAACGAACGAGGGAGAAATGTTGACAACATAAATATGGACTTGGCAACAAATCTCGAATGGGGATCCAATAACTTGGTAGATTTCAATGCAAACAAAATACAAGCATGCCTTTTCTCTAGAAAAGCCGATCTCACTGTGCCCAACATGAGCTTGTCAGGAGTAACCATACCTTTGAAGACAACCATTTCGATGCTTTGTATTACTATCAGCGATAACTTTTCTTGGGAAAATCACGTGAGATCAATTGCTAAAAGTGCATCCCTAAAACTTGGTTTTCTGTTTCGGGTCAGGAGCTATTTCACTTCCAGTCAGCTGCTTATGATCTATAAGGCACAGATTCGACCTGTCCTGGAACACTGTTCCCATATTTGGAGTGCAGCACCCAAACATACCCTGAAACTGTTGGATTCTGTCCAAAAAAGGGCAATTCGTCTCGTGGGTGATGCCTCGATCACAAACTCACTCACTTTTCTGGAACACCGTAGAAAAGTTGTCGATCTGGCTCTATTTTATAGATATTTTCATGGACGACGCTCTTCTGAAATATCAACAATTGTTCATTCCTTGGCAGACCCAGCGAGATTAACGCGGCGAGTTGAGGCTTCGCATCCCGTCATGGTCACTTTGGAGACCTGCAGAACATCTCTTTCCAAAGACTCGTTCAGCTAACAAACAGCGATGCTCTGGAACACATTGCCAAGGGAGGTGTTCCCCGAGGCATAAAACCTCCAGAAATCAAAGAAGAACACCTATACCTGGGTTCTCACGATGTTCTCTGAACATTACAGGATATCCTTTTTCGTGGAAACCAGAACATAAAAAAAAATCCAAAGAAATACCCCTCTGTTTTTTCCGAAAATTCCCGACATATGTCAACGATTTAATGAATTTACCTACCTTTTGCAAGCGATATCGAGAATATTTCCCAGGAGTATCTGAAACCACTCTCGACATGATTTTTCGAATGTAATCTCATGGCTAGTGACCCCTCATTGGAAAGCTGGTGGAAAGAGGAATCCAGCGTGCTAATCACATTTCAGTATTTCATACGTTTAAAGGTTGAATCAAATTGAAATGTAATTTTAAAATATTTTTTTTCTGTGACGGGAAAAAAGTTCGAAGTTTCATCACTGTTGGCAGATCATAAATTGTGACTTTTCATAAATTACTTTTGCCTCCACGGGAAAATAGTGAGTACTTTTTTCCCTGATATACATCACATATACACTGTCGGTGGCTTTTTTTGTGCTATAGTTCCGAATAATAGGTCAAAAACACCGTCTCCGAGAAAGCACTGCAAGTCCTTTTATCTTCAATTCGTCTTCGCAGTTACGTAAATTACTAAAAAAAACTGAATTCGCAATTCATTAAAATCAAATCAGATAATTATTAGTCTGGCAAATATTTGATCACTTCGAAAGAATGATGCCTGCAATGCAGGTGAAATATCAAGTTCTAGGATTATTCCAAATATTCTAGAAATTCCAATATTTTTCGAAATATTCTATGTTTCTTCAACTTTGAATTCATATATATTATTTGATGATTTGCTGAATCTGTTTGGAGATGTTCTAGAATTTCTAGAAATACTTTCTGCTCCTGAATGGACACGATGTTTCCAAAGGTATCAATAATGCTTTTGAATGTTCCAGAATGTCTTGGAACGTTGAAAAAGTTCATGAATGTTCAGGATTGATCTCGATTTCTTTTAATATCTGGAATGTTCTGAAAATTTCAGGAATAATCAAGAATGTTCTCGGATGTTGACAAGATTTCAAGAACGTGATATTTTTGTTAAATCTATATTCAATGTTGCAAACCAACATCCCAGAGGTCAAAACTTGAAAGGATTGCAGGGCCAACAACTTATAGAGTATTCCGAATGTCTAAAAATATCAAGAATGTTCTAAAAATATCAGGAATGTTCTAAAAATATCAGAAATGTTCTAGAATTGTTCCAAATATTTGAGAAATTTCAATATTTTTGGGAATATTCAGATGCTCTTGAATTTCAAAAGTACTAATGTTATAAAATGCTCCTGGATGTTCAAGAATGTCCTGGAATTTGAAGAAATTTCATGAATGTTCTGGATTGATCACGATTTTTTCAATACCAGGAATGTTCTATAACGATCTCAAATATTCCAGTAGCTTGAGAGGTATTGTAAAATGTTCAGGAATATTCAAGAATATGTTCTCGCGAATATTCAAAAATTTTCGTACACATTTTTTTTGTCAAACCTGTACATCCTTCGCGGTGAGGGTTTAACTACTATTCTAATCCTGATGTAATTCGTCCAATCTTGGCCCAATATTCCTATTCTCGCAATACAAATTTCCTATCCCTTATCTACAGGGTGTATCTGAATAACACCGAAAAAATTCAAAGGGTGATTTCTTGTGATATTTTATATAGGAAATAAAGTTCATATAAACATGTGCCCTAACTAGCTTCGTTTTCGAGATACAGGGTATTAATATTTCCATGAAAAATCTTTTTTCTGTTAATTTCTCAATTGTCTTATCATCAATTTCAATAAAAAGTTGTAGTTTTGTCAATAGTAATATCGAGCTTCTTCTAGTGCAATTATACAGGGGGGTTATGAATAAAAACAATTAATACTTCCAACTTCAACATCCTGTATCTCAAAAACGGAGCAAGCTAGTACACATGTGTATATGAACTTTATTTGCTAGAATATCATAAGGAAACCCCCCTTGAAGTTTTTCGGTGTTATTTAGATACACCCTGTATAATATCGGTCCAATCCTACGTCCGATCTGTCTCATCCTTGTTCGTTTTTGGGAGACCGGATTACCCTTCGACGAATAAGTCAGAACTGTGCTTTTTCTCTCGATGGTTTGATGACGAAACGTTGGGTAATGGCGCCCAGGGGGTCAACGACGATAAGATAGTGTGTTTGCTTTCATATATTTAGTTCGGAATGATACTGATGGACGCAATTTGTGGCAATATTTGTTAATCGAATTTGTCAACATTGCATTTATACAGGGTGTCCCATTGGGAAACGGAAAAACTTCAAGGTGATTGTGAATATAGTTTTATATCGGAGATATAGGGTGTTTTCAAACCACCCAGTATATTCTTTCAGAATTCGATATTGGAAAGTGCACGTTTCGGGACCGATTCTGCTCCCGTTTTCAAGACAATTACGACTTAGCTATTGAAATAATCATATCTTATGTTGAAAACGGGAGCAGAATCGGTCCCAAAACGTCCAAAGATAAGTGAAAATTTGATATTTTTTCTATATACCTTTATTTCTCTTCTCCAAACTTTTTTCTATACAAATTGTCACTGACAAGCTAGTGAATTTTTTTTTTAGGCTTTCTGATAGGAAATTTTTTTAAACACAGTGGCATTTTGGGGCAAATCATCTGATTTGTCCTTACTACACGTATATTGAAATAATATTCACATTTTCATTTTATAGAAACGAGGAGAGAAAATCCCAAAAAATTTGGAATAATGATTGTAATTTCTTCTTCTTCAAGAGTTGGATACGATTTTCATAGATATTGAACAAGTAATGGGATACAAATGTGATAAAAAATTTCTTGGCTTGTCAGAATTTTGAAAACGAGTTTCTGTAACATACAACTTCGTATTTATTACAGCGATGATTTCTTTAAAAATGTAACACTTTGTAAAACAGAAAATATGTTTAAATATTTTGAGAATCACATCACATACCACCCAGATATACGTCGGTGAACCAAACACCCTGTATATATTTTTTCCCGCATAATTTCATTATCATCATTAATCATAGACTCGGTCATAGATGAATCAT